GGATCTGTGGTGAAGTGTGTGTGGGCAGTAAGGTAACAGCGAGCAGGGCCAGTGGCGCAATGGATAACGCGTCTGACTACGGATCAGAAGATTCTAGGTTCGACTCCTGGCTGGCTCGGCTGCTCTTTTTTTTTTTCCCTCCTCGCCCCCTCTCTCTCTTTTTCCTTCCTGTCCTCCAGCCCCAGCGTGCTCCCTGCACCCGCTCCGCGCCTAGGCCGTCCCCCCATTCCTGCACAGACCCACCACGGCCACCCTCATGCCCCCAACGTGGGGGTCCACCAGGTGCAGGGGCCTCCAAAGCACCCCGGGGTGGGGCAGCGTTGCAGGGGCCTGTTGCCTTCTGAATGGCCCTTGGCAGCCCCCCACCACAGGCACCACCTGGGGGACAGCTGCTGCAGGGGAGGCCAGTGCCTACCTGGGGGGGAGCCCAGGTCTGGGGGTTCAGCATAGAGCAGGCCTGGGGCACGTCCTGGCCAATTCCCCACTGGATCCAGCCCTCTGGGTATCATCCCCTGGTTTTAGGCAGCTTCTCGCCTCGAGGAGGGGGAACCCTAAAGTATAATTATAATTACAGGTAATCCTATTTATTAGCTTCATTTTAGCTGGTAGCTCCATGCTGCTGTGGTGCTGCTCAGCCAGCAGCACTTAAGCATCCCGTCTTCAGACATGAGGCGTCATGGTCACTGATTGCAGTGAAGCTTACGGGGGCACCACATGGCTGCCTGCCTCTCAGAACCACGCGAACTCTCCCCAAAACCCTCCCCACCAATGCTGCAAAGGAGACCCCTGTGCTGGGACCAGAGCCTGCTCCCACCCGTAGCACATCCCTCCCCAGCTCCTCACCTGGGGACCAGGGTCTCCCCAGAAGGACACTGGAGCAGGACAGCCTCAGACAGGGCCGCAGCAAATCCCAGCTGCCTGCAAAGGGCTGGAAATCCCCAGTGAACCCCACTAAGAAGGTTTCCCCCTGCCAGTCCCTGCTTCAGCTATTGAGGCAGGAGGAGAGAAGGAAGGCAGAAGTTGGGAAACCATCATTTCACAGCATAACTCCCTCCCCGTGGACTCTGAGCAATGACAATCATTGTAATTTTAGGAAAGACTTGACGCTGAGCACTGCTTTACAGTATTGTCTTTAATCACTGAAATCACAACAGACCAGCGGCTTTGCCCCCGCTGCCAGCCCTCGTTCTTTATAAATATTTAACAGCACAGAAGAAAAGAGGGCTGTGTTCACAGGTGGCTAAGGTTAGTTACACCAGCACAAATCCTAAAATACTCTCTCCTGGAGTTGAGCTTTGAAGGAAACATAAACAAAATAATTAGTACCGTTCAGTATCATTAGCCAGGCTCTGGATTTGCTTTCCAGATACAGAAAGCCACAGCCTGCATGTGTGCACCCGGGTCCCCGTCTGGCCGTGCACCGCAGACCTGCTGCGTGGGGACGAGGGTCGGTGCCAGCAGGGCTGGGAACTGCAGCCCGGTCATCCCTGCACTGGGGCCACGGGGCATCCCTGTCATCTGCCTTCAGGGGCTCTACACCACGTATTTTCACATGGGGACATTTTCTTCCCGTCTCTCATCTTGTCTTAGCGGGCTACTGATGCATATTGCCACGCGAGCTTCTGGCTGCCCTGGAAGAAAGCAGGGTGAGGATTTTTATTGCTCAGAGAAGCTTAATTTTGCTTCTCCTTAGGATGGGTGAGCAGCTCAGGGCTCTGTCTGGGCTGACGGCAGGAAGACACCTGCCCGATTGGCTCCAGATTGGCTCCAGTAAGTACACCTAGTGCCACTGCAGCCACCGAGTGGCAGGACACAGAAACGGAAAAGAAAAATGAACGCACAAATGCAGTGCAATGAGAGAGGCAAATCCCCTCCCAGCTTCTCCCAGCGACGCAGGCACTCAGCGTCAGAGGATGGGGGAAAAGGGACATGTATCTGGCCGTAGCCCTTCCCTGCCCGCAGGTACTGACTCCAGAGATGTTTCTCCAGCAGTAAACCTGGGTCAACTTGTCCTTACATTCATTCAAGGTTGCTCAAAATGCATCTACGAACACTTGGCATGGGCACAGGGGCGTGAAAGGCAGGTCTCTCGCAGGCAGCACGTGCCGCATAGAGCACACAGCCGAGGCCGACATGGGAGAAGCACGGTCCAGACCAGCATACGCAGGTGCACTTCCCCTCAAAACCCCCTCTAATAAATGTCCAGGAATACAACAAACAAAAGCAAATCCCCTCCGTGCCACCTTCTCCCCTGCTCTCTGTAATCACCTGCCCTCTTTTCCCTACAGCTGCTGTATTTTTTAAGTCACATCCTTCTTTCCCCGTGCATCCCCACTGCGTCAGTAATTATTTTTGTTTATTGAACAAAAAAGGTGGCAGTCCATTTCAGCGATCTTTTCAAGGCAACTTTCACACTGCCGCAGATTCATCCCCAGGTATGTCTTGTCTGTAATAAAATCACTCTGCCCTTGATCCAACGCTGACCTACACACACACATTGATTTTCATGTGCGCAGCCTTACTGGTTTCAGTGGGATTGCCTGCCTGTGCACTTCAAGTTCAATGCAGATAGAGTCCTTCATGCGATTTTCTTCGCAACAGAGTACAAAGCTGCCACTGCATCGACCAACAGCAGGCTGATATTCAGGTAATTTGGAGGATCAGGTCAAAGCGTTCAAGTAAGGATGGGGAGCGTGTGTCCAGTTTCCTTTAAGCAAGGACACGGTTTTGCTGTTGCTTAAATAATAAAGTGGTAAAATTTCCAGGGAAATACAGAGTGCAAAATCAGGACTAAATTCATGAGGAAGAGTGCGCCTGTGATCCTCCCCAGGGCTGTGAACTCACAGGAGGGAGAGGAGGTCACAGCAGTGCTTATGAACAGATCCGAATACTGAAATTCAGGGATGCCAAATATTTGCCCAGTGCTAAAAATCAGCACAAGGAGAAAGCACAGGAAGATATTTACTTTCTTCTCTCGGCAGCCAGAGATACCCCTTCATTTCAAACAGCCAGCCAGACCTGTATCAGCTCTTAAGAGCCCAGTTTCCCCCTTTCACATCTGCCATAGCACACCTGATGCTGATGAGACTCCACCGTTTCCAGACCAAGGAGCTATTCACTTTGCAGTAAAAAGATCTACAAAAAAATCATTTAAACCCTGAAAAACTGGGAAAACATTCTAAAAGCCCCCAAATTAAACTCAGAAACTGAAGAGCCCCAGACCTCATCAAACACTCCTCACCAGGGTGTTTGAAAATGCTGTTCCCTGCATTTAACATCAGGGCAGTTTCCTAAATCACTTTGATCACAGGTGTTTCTTACACTTTAAATGACACAAAAATGTCTGCTGCTTCTATAGCTGGGGCTTTTCCCCTGGCTTTTATGCAAAAATCCCTATTTAAGTGAGTTTCTGTATTCTAAACAATTGAAATTTAACAGCATGATCTGAAAGAAAATATCTATTAAGCTCTGGCTCCTGAAAGCAAGTTTCAGGGAATTCACTTAACAACTATTTGCGTTTGAGTTACTCATTACCAGCACAATGGGACTTCCAAGGGTCCCTTACCCTAAAACCAGTTAGAAGAGCATGCTGGGGGAGAAATTAAGACTAACTTTTCATGGCACGTTTCAGCATCTTAATAAATAAAAAGACAACAAGGTTCATGTGAACAGCAAAACCCAATGCGTATCAGCCAGGTGACAGGCAGAATTTAACCCGTTTTCATAAATTCTTCTGCAGAGCATGCAAAAGCCTTGCACCTCCAGCTCCAGTTACCGGCCTGCCCGTTTTTGCCTTTGGGGGAGCTGCCTGAAGGCAGGCAGTGAGGGCTTGCAGCTCCACAGATGCCTGGCAGGGGGTCAGGAGGAGGAGAAGCCTCCTCTGTGCACGATGTCCCTGCCTCCCCACCAGACCCACCATCAGGCAGCTGCAGAGTGGGGGACAAGCTGGGGACAATCAACACGGACTCAGACACCCACAGCCTAGGAGAAAAGGCAGGAATAATAAGGAGCTTAAATGAATTCAAACTCCCAAAGATAAAAGCGGTGCAAGTTAGCACACATCGGGGAGCAGGGCAATGCAGCAGACACTTTAGCTTCAAAACCACCAACTCACGCGGTCCATTTTCAATAGCTTCACATTGTTGCTTCTAGCTCTTCATAAATACAGGAAAGGAGAGCATTCACACTTAATAATTTATACTGGACCTCAAAACTGAAAGTAGGGCAGCCTTCATTTCCCCAGCACTGAGGGATATGGGATGGCTGATAGGAGTAACAAGACACCTTGTGGGAGCATCAACCTCCTGTTGATGCAAAGGAGGCTCCACAAACGGGCTGCTCGAGGCTTTTCATGAAGGAAAATTGTCCTTCTCCCCCTCCCCTTCTTGCCTGCTTATTTTGGGGTTGTTGGTAAGGCTGCAAGAGTGAGACAGTAGTTTAAACTGCAGCTTAAAAAGAAAATATCAGCCCCACTAGTGTTTTCAAATCTTCCCAAAACAAGGCCAGAAAATGTGCATGAGGGGCTGCTCTAAAAATCAAGAGCTAGCAAAAGCATGAGTCATGTAGTAGCTGGCCTCTCAGAGACAGAACAACAGATCAGGGCTGGTGTTTCCAGCTCATTTCCAGAAGCCACTTTGATATCTCACTGTCTTCGCTGCCAAAAGAAGCCCAGAGAGGGGAACCGCCTGCCCAGAACTATCTGAATTATTTACCAGGGACGCTCAGCTGGCGTTATTTCCCACTTCAGTCCTTTCAGACAGTCCTAAGATCATAGTCGCATCTTGAGATACCTCCCACCCCCCCCCGTGCCCAGCTGTGCTGCAGGACACAAGCTGACACACTGTGCCGGGGTGAGAGCACTGCAGGATCTGCCCTGGGTGTTTTGTTGCCCCCAGTCCATATTGCCTGGATACAGCACCAGTTATATTTTATGTCGGTTCCCATCCCTTTGCTATCCAGCATTCGGAGGCCAAATTTAAGGCTCCAGGGAGCTCACATATTTGGGGTCAATTTTACCTCCTCTAAAATCACAGATAAAACTCTCCACATTATATATGCCCCAGAGCCACGTATACTGCAGTGGGAAAGTCCCCCCCCTTGAGCTTTCGGCCACTCACTGAGGGCTTGCATGTCCCCAGGAGAAACAGCACCGGAGAGCCAAGCTACATGAAAGCTGGGGCTCTGGATGGTTTCCAGTGCGGCCCCGAACTCCAGCCGCTGTCCCCACCCTGAAGAGCAGCAGCAACAGGTGGAGGCGCTTGCAGCTGGATGGGGCAGAACGCTGGATGGTCTGCCAACCCAATGAAACTCCACGCCAAAACCACCAAGCTTCCGAGGCTTGGGCAGTTTCAGACGTTCACACTTCAGCCGAGGCAAGCTGATACAGACGTGTAGGGGGATGCTAACAGGCCACTGGTCTTCATCCGTTTCATAGTAGATGCTTGTGCCTCTGTTTAATACTTAGCGCAGCAACTTGCACCACTCAAAACGGAGGCCCGTGGTATTTATTAGCACAGGCAGAGACAGGCAGCTTGCTGCAGCCGGCACCTGTGCTGCTCCAGATGGGTACACGAGGCAGTCTGACTACATGGTGTGAAGTTCTAGCACCTATCTAGCTACATTCATGCTATGGGAAAAGAGGTTTGGTTGAACCATAGTGGGTTCTTGGCACAGGCTCATGTCAGGAGTCCCAGTGCCACTGCTCAGCTAATTTATTGTAGTTTCCTCACTAAAAAGACCTTCAAGAATGTCATCCTGTCCTCTATCAATCAACTGAATTTACATCTTTAGCATGGATACATTAGGATTTAACTAGGATTTAACTAGTTTTCCACACAATATGTCGGAAAGGGTAGCTAAGATCCCTGACTGCATCCGAGACTTTAAATTAAAAGCTTTTTCTTAAACAAAAACTTTGTACCTGTACACAAGGGGCTGCACAGCTTTGGTACCTACAGAACATGCACTGCAGGCATATCTATCTTACATGTAACACATACCGGGGGAGCAGATTTCTCTGACTATAAAGCAGGGGGGTTCAAAAAGAGAAGTGATCTGCTTTTCTGCTTTCTCAGCAGAACAGAAAGCAAGGACCAAACTCACTAACCCCTTGCTCAGATAAGCTGTTGTTATTCATGGGAGCAAATCTGTTTATACCAACATACTCATTTGAGCACAGGTTGTGGAGCTGGGCTCTAAATCCCTGTGTAACAAAGCCTCCATTACAAGCCTTCATAACCATCTCGAGTTTGTTCCCAGAGCTCTAAATAAGCACCGTTATGAAATGGCTTTGTGCTGGGTGAACACCACGGCAAGGAGTGGCCAGGCTGGGGGCTGAGCTGTGGGGACAAGCTGAAAAACTCAGGCAAGTGTCTGTGTACGGAGAGCTTTTTTCCAAAGCACGCTCTGCAAGCAAGAACACGGCTGGATTTCCCCAGTGTCCACACTTTCAGCATGCCGACCTTTCCTTTCCAAATACAATCCGCTATTCAGTCTCTGACACAGCAGACTGGCCCCTGCGTATCATGCTGACACGCAAGCCTGGGCCCCAAGTCACCGGGGTAGCTTAGCCTAGCTTGTTCCAGTTTTTTGTTCGCTTTGAAATGGGATGTTGGCCTCCACCTGCCAGCCAGCACGTCTGGTTTGTGCTTGGAGAGTTGGTGCTTTTACAGCCAGACGTGATACCCGAGTTCGGGGAATTAACTGGAAGGTCTGAGCACGCCATTTTGCACGGACCCCTTTCTTTACTTTTCCTAAAGAATTAATAAAAAGAGAGAGAGTGTCTAAAAACTGGTATTAATAGATTGATGTCCTTCAGGGAATCTGATGAAATGTGCTTGTCAGGAAACACTTAGTGGACTGATGGGATGTCTCCGGCAGGCAGGCAGGCAAGCCAGCCTCTGGCTTTTTAATTGGGCATGGCACGATCTGAGTTCATAGGCACGACAGCAAGTTGTGCTTTCACTGAAGAATCTTCTGAAATGAGCGAAGAGGAATCTCCAGAGAGCAGAAAAAGGCACGTAAAAGTAAACCGATCAGTTCAGATAACATGCCACGTTCTTGGTCAAGTAGACATGGTTTGATACAGCTGGAACTCACAAGCATACAGACTCTGGGAAACCAGCAAAAATCTCTCATATCCTTTTACAGGAACATTGCCGACTGGCGAAAAACATGCACAGGAAATCAGCTGAGGGTGGGGAGAGGGAGATCACGTAACAAGTCTTCTGTCTGGGCTTTCCCATGTCGGCCACACTGGCTAGTAGTGGTGCTGGTACACAGCTGCTGGGGTAGTGCCGTTCTCTATGTGTTTCAGATGACAGGAGTGACAAAGCAAATGTTCATCTAGCGGGTAACAGCGATGCCCGTCTTCATCATTCAGTTCCATCCCACAGTCCTGCAAAGAGAGGCCATGCAAATTATTAGAGCATGTGTTCATCTTCCAGCGTCAAGCGGGGTCTTGCTTCCAGGAGCATGATTTTGTGACAAGGATAGAAGACACCCAGCCAACAGCTCCTTCCTAGTAAGCACAACATTTGCCACGAGAAGGAAAGCATCTCACACAGGCATTTTGAGGGGCAGCCTTGTACAAATTTGTCTTATGCAGTTTTACTGCATAGGTGCATAGGTGCTGGAGCGTGTCCAGAGAAGGGCAACGAGGCTGGTGAGGGGTCTGGAGAACAAGTCTTATGAGGAGCAGCTGAGGAAACTGGCCTTGTTTAGCCTGGAGAAAAGGAGGCTGAGGGGAGACCTCATCGCTCTCTACAACTACCTGAAAGGAGGTTGTAGCGAGG